TCGAGCAAACATCAGAGCACAAAGTCGTGAAGTTGTGAGTGATGAAATGGTGAAGTGGTGAAGTGGTGAAGTTGTGAGTGATGAAATGGTGAAGTGGTGAAGTGGTGAAGTGGTGAAGTGGTGAAGTGGTGAAGTGGTGAAGTGGTGAAGTGGTGAAGTGGTGAAGTGGTGAAGTGGTGAAGTGGTAAAGTGGTGAAGTGGTGAAGTGGTGAAGTGGTGAAGTGGTGAAGTGGTGAAGTGGTGAAGTGGTGAAGTGGTGAAGTGGTGAAGTGGTGAAGTGGTGAAGTGGTGAAGTGGTGAAGTGGTGAAGTGGTGAAGTGGTGAAGTGGTGAAGTGGTGAAGTGGTGAAGTGGTGAAGTGGTGAAGTGGTGAAGTGGTGAAGTGGTAAAGTGGTGAAGTGGTGAAGTGGTGAAGTGGTGAAGTGGTGAAGTGGTGAAGTGGTGAAGTGGTGAAGTGGTGAAGTGGTGAAGTGGTGAAGTGGTGAAGTGGTGAAGTGGTGAAGTGGTGAAGTGGTGAAGTGGTGAAGTGGTGAAGTGGTGAAGTGGTGAAGTGGTGAAGTGGTGAAGTGGTGAAGTGGTGAAGTGGTGAAGTGGTGAAGTGGTGAAGTGGTGAAGTGCGATGTAGCCGCAGGAAATTTGAGCCCGCGGATACAGGATGTAGGTTTTGCTCTGGTGCTATCTGCTGAATACACCAGAAAGGACGAGAATTCCAAAAATTGATTGCTTTTGTTGATGAACAAAATACGCAACCCACAAGACTTTGGCTCCTCAACTGTCATTCATTACGTTGGAATTAGATCAGGAGTATGGGACCTAGAACACCCGCAGGTAAACATAATTTGATATTAGCTTTCATCCAAGGAGGCTTTGCCATTGATAAAGACCGTAGCCGAAAACTGTATCTTTGAGAAAGGGAATTCCCAGCGGGCATTCATCCGATTCATCTGACTGATCCCTTCACGAGAATAATGCTTTCAATTACTATGGGTTTGTATGTCGTTTGCTCCACTTCCAGCTTTTCTCAGGTTATTAAAGTGACATTGTTGCCAGGGACACTATCGCAGGCGGCCAGACTACCACAGATCAAGTTGTTGGGCATCAGAATCTTACGTCAAGCCCTATCTTAAGTTTTGAAAGTCAGGGAATTCCACTCACGCTGATATTGCCTACATTCCCTTTGCCGCTTCCCTCGGAGACATTGACAACGCCTCCGTTTAGCTCTCATTCTATCCAAACCGTGACCTCTATCCCACTTCAAGGATCCGGAAATGCAGAGTCGCCTGCCATCGGTCTTACTCTACTTGTAATTTTTTCTTTTTATCTTCATTACTGCTTCAAGAATCTTCTGTTTTATTAAAACATGATGATGGATTTTATTTGGTGTTTTAAGAAGGTTGGCAAGCGACGTTTCTCGGCTCATATGAGCAATGGCTATCAGGATACAGAGGGATCAACCAGCCACTATTTGCTTAGAAGCTAGTCTCCATCAATCTAAGTTTTTTACAATAAACATATAGCGGCTTACGGGCGTATAGATCAGAAACATCAATATTTGGAACCTCACAGAAGTGGACACATGAAACCCTAAGAATTACGGTTATTGTGTCTCCTCTGCTGAGCTATGATCCTCATAAATTCCAATCTTACCTCTTTCACGTAAAGAACGTATCCGACCATGATATAGCTTGCGATTATTGAATAGCCAATAACAACAAATCAATGATAAATAAATGTCTTTTATGCATGAAGCTCAAAGAAGATGTAATAGGAAAGCAGATGGGTAGAGCAATTTTTGAGCAGTCTCGATTACCTACTGGATGAATTCTAGGGAGAAACATCGTAGACACCATCAACTCAGCCACTTTTGTCAAACTTTAATCCATTAGCACTGAAAAACTTCAACGTAAACGAGGGTTTCAGTGATCAACAATTTATACACCTTTCCTTCATCAAAAACTTGGAGAACCTCATATCATTGAGTACTTAATAGTACCAACGTCGTAGAAATTGAAAAAGATCCCCACCTTTCAACCCAGAATAGAAGAGACAATCGATCAAATCTTGATATCAGCTTCTTGAGCAAGAGGCGGATATATAAATGGTTTGTGAATTGTTCTTACTTCATTCTCATCAAGCACTTCACTATGAGACAAGGCGATGAAAGAATATACAAACGCCGACGGACAATATTTCCGGACGAATCAGAATTTCTTTGCAACGATGGTAATAGCTCTCCTACACGGGAGATCCCACCAAATGGTCCCCAAGACAACCCACTTCGTGATCGTTATGTTTCTGCAGGCAGCAAGAGAGATCAGCCCAATACTTTAATCAAGGAGTATAAAACGGATCCATGGGAAAGCTTTGAGCCAATCGCTAAGATATCGCAAAATCGGTCGATGTTTTTGAGTCGAAGCAGGGCGCTAAAGCATCGACTTGTTCATATTGAGCAGCTTGATGAAGAAGCGTCCTCGCTTGCCACTACTCTCAATCTCTTGAGAAAGCTACACCATCGTAGCTTCTTAATCCTGCAAGAATCCTATCACCACACTAATTCGGTTTTCTTTGTATGGGAACCGGTGGAGGTCTCGATCAGCCAGATTATGGCCAGCAAATGCATGATCACCGCAAGTGAAATTATTGCAATTGTCAGACCGGTACGTCATAAATGGTACAAGCTGGTCTATCTTCTCGCCTAACAAGTTACAGATCATTGATGGTATTCATCATCTACTACAACATGGCAGAGCCCTTGCCTGCCTAACTCCCGACACGGTTTTTGTGACGCAATCTGGCAACGTCAAGATCGGTATGTTTCAAATGATACATCTGGCGTATCAAAATAATAACAATCTGTAGGGGGGTGGAGAAAAGCTGTCAAATTACGACCTCGGAAATGAATCCTGCCACATGGAAAGCATATGCCTTGGCCGATATCGTCACGCGCCTGATGGCAAAGAACAGATCCTATGAATGGAACGCCGATATGAAAACACTACCAGATGATCTACGGACGATGACTATCGATTCACTGCTACAGGTTGGTCACTTGAAACTTGTTTTGTTATTATTGAAGCTAACGGCTCAGAAACCTGCCTTTGAAAACACGCCTTGTCCAGAAGAACTCGTCCTTCTTGTTACTCTGACAACAAAGACCGCATATCACCAGATCGATTCATATTCTGTTCGGCCATGAACGGTGTTTTCCTTTCTCACTTTCTTTGAAATTGGAGGGACGCCGGCACAGCCATGCTCCTCATCTGCATTTTAAGGACTTCACAGTCTGGCTACTGATTAGGATGTCTACTGGCTGCAATATTCTCAAAACTTGAAAGATGATTTGAACAAGGGCTTCAAGATGACAAGTTTGTGATTGTAGAAACTTATTCTATTTTGAAGCATGTAGATATTCCCATTCTAGATGTTGTGGCGCATCAATTTGCTATCCGAGATTTACGAAATGTGCCAAAACTCTTTAGAAAATCTCTCTTTCTCAAGTTTCAGGAGGCTTCCCATCCAATTGGCCGATTGTAACGGGCTGTTGCCCGAGAGTGGCCATGTGACCATGGCCTTCTATATTGCTTTTCCCTGCCTCCCATATTGTCGTAACCATGCACGAACGCCCCCTTTTCCTTCCTTTCCCCTAAGATTGTTGTAAACAGTTCGTGGCCTAGTTAGATTGAATCAAGTCGGCTTCAGCCCTTCACACCGATCACTAATTACCATGTAAAGAGGAAAACATCTACTCTGTTGTTGATTAGATTGTCCGCTTTTCATTTGTTTCCTAGAATCACTGAAACAATACTACCGGGACGTAGGCCTAAATACAGCTTCGCGTAGACCATGTAGCAGCGAGCTAATAATGATCGTTGTACAGCTGCAAGCGAAGGCACAGATCGTATAGTAAGATCAAGTTCCAGGATGTGTTCCAGATCTGTTAAGATTAACATGAGCCACACAAAATGAGTGGAAGACCCCGAATCGTAAATTTGGGCACTCCCAAACGTCAGGAAGCTATTGAGGACTTTCAAGATTACTTGCACGCGCAAGATGCACTGGATGCGTAGCCGCGTCAGCCTTAATTTGTAGTCGGCATTCACATTGACATGACGATAAGTTTTCGAAGCCCAGGCCGACTTGCCTTAGATGAATCGCATTCATCATAAGATAGCAAATATGAACAAAGTTCAGGTTGTGACGCCATGAGCACACCCCAAGCACACCCCATGCACACCCTATGCACACCCTATGCACACCCTATGCACACCCTATGCACACCCCATGCACACCCCATGCTCACCCCATGCTCACCCCATGCTCACCCCATGCACACCCCATGCTCACCCCATGCACACCCCATGCTCACCCCATGCACACCCCATGCTCACCCCATGCACACCCTATGCACGGAACAAATAAGGCTTATATGGTATTTGAGAGTTAGACTAATTTGTGACATTTAGTCAAATATCTGACTTGATTCGACCTCTTTCCATTCTATGTTGTGGTTCGTCAATTGGTCTGGTTGCATTGCGAACCAATATGAACGATACAGCCATGGACTTAGGTGAGAGAGCCAACAGAAGAACGAAGTTGTTACATAGTGACGATGGAAGAGTGATTTCTTTTCATTAGATAAGACGACAAGGACCATTCTACGTGATATGCCGCTCAACCCTTTTCCCTCGGTGATTATGCCTCTTCTACCACAAAGAAAGTTTTTGAGCAATCCTGATCATGAGGCTCTGACCACCACGAATAATGAGCCTTTACCCATGTTGGTATCACCAGCTAGGTACTGTGTACACAGTTAAGTGGACAGTTTGTGCTTCTAAGCAAAAGTTGATTGATTCGTGTATGATAGATGTATGTTCCAGGTCCTCGTCCAATGCCCCTGAATCCGTGCGGGGGCAGCAGCTGAGCAAGATTACGTACAATATGTCTTTGCTTATTCTGACGGGAGGAGGGCATAATCTAATGGATAAAGATAGAATTTCTCTTTTACGCTGCGTCTTCCAAAGATAGCCGCTGTTTCTTGAGCGTCGTGCTCCAGTACACCTGTATGGAACCTTTACTCCTCCCGGGGAACCTCTGATCAAATCGCTTAATCACTTCCGACCAGGAAAGAGATTCTTCCTCCCTCAGCTGCACCAGAAGGCTATTCTCTTCAAATGACCAAGGTAATCCTTTTCTTGAGGAACAAGTATTTTTCCCACGGACAACTTTGGCACCCGCGCTTGATTGTTCAGCTGATGAAGACGTGATTCCTTCCTCTGTCAAGATACCCTTCGATGATGATGCATTCTTTGAGCGGGAGGGCATATGGAGGCATTGAGACAAAGCACCCTCAAACAGCCAGGACAAGAACTCTAGTCGCTCCTCGACCGGTAGAGAAGAGAACTGATCCCGAAGAATAGAAAACGACATTGTAACGGGGCCGCTTGCTCGAGCACTCCGGCCAGTCCTATTCATGTGGCGATTGTCCACAACGACAGCAACCTTGCTGATTTTGGACTGCTGCCGCCCGGGTTTCATCGCCCGTTGCGAATTCGGTCGCATGCGGCGGCCACGAACAGATTTACCCAACGAACGAGAAGGGGCCACAACTTCAGAGGTCTCTTTTCTTGCTGGGGTCGGCTCCATATCTTGGAAATGATAATCGTCCAGGATTGCCGGATCAATTGTTGCGTCACAACACTCGCTGGCCGGACCAGTACTTCCAGCCTTACCAACATGAGACTGCTGACTGGTAGTGCAAGCGAGCCCTGGATCACCCGATTCAAAGTTGAGTGGGTACTGAGACTCCGGGCCCAGATTATCACAGTTTATTGGATGGTCCTCGTCTCCAGAGCTTGGTAAATCCTGCAGATGCAGAATATCATTGAAGTCGAACGCCTCAACCCCGGGGTTAACGCATGATATCTGATCCTCCACAGCGGGATGGTGCTGATGCTGAGTGTTTGTCTCCTGTGGTAGGCTGTCGTTCAAGCAAACCTCCACCGGCGGTCGGGGAGGAAGAGGGTGTCGCTCAGATTGATGAGAATGAACATTTGGGTTCTCGGAAGCCGAGTTGGTAGAATTGGAGGGAGGCGAGGTGGCGGTGATCGAGATAGGACTTGGATATCGACAAATATCGAGAGAATCCCGCAGAGGCTGCGCTCTGTCCTGGAAAGGATTCCACGGCCGGAAAGATTCCAGGCGAAAGCTATCGACTGACATATTGTGCGAAAAAAAGGCGGCTGAGCAAGTTCACGGCATATGGGGATTGGGGCCACTCGTAGAAATAGAGAAACCGAGATCGGGAGTTAGGGCAAGGGGCAGTGGGTAGGGCACAGTTGGAAGGGGAAGGGGGAAGATGGGAGAATTTGGGAGGGTTGGGTTGAAGCTTTGTCGTTTGGGTGGAATTGTGGTCTCTTTTATAGACTGCGAGGCGAAATCCGCCTACTTAACCGCGCAGACGACGCCGACCAGCTCCAGCAACCCATGCCGCTGCATCCAAAGTTGCCAGACCATCCTATTTTCGCATCCACGAAGCTAGAATTCCAACCAATCTCGATGATAGCCCCCGACCAATGATCTACGTTCACGGTCGTCGCCAGCTCCGCCTCCATTTGCCAGACTGCGTGATCGTGGGGTCTTGCCGAAGCCCGGCCAGGAATTCACCTCATGATGCGGAATCGACCTGGGTCAGGCGAGCTTGCGGTATTTTCGCCATTGGTTCGCATCACCGTTGCATGCTGTCGAGGTTCATCGATTGGGTGAGGATGGACAGGAGAGGCCGATGATGACGACAACTGCGAGGTTAAGGAGTTTGGGAGAAAGCCGACGAGAGTAGGTCTGCGACGCCAAGGGCTGCACAATGTAACCTCCGATGGTTTTACCTCCGACGGGGCGTCAGATGAGGCCGATGAAGTGGAGCACGGAGCATCGAGGAAGGCAACCAAGGAGACTTCGCTTGTTGCGAAGTCAGAGGGGAAACAGATCTTCAGCGTGAAAGACTCGGACTCGGCCGCAGAAGGCAACCGACATAGCTTTGCAGCGAGACCCACGGTGGCTTGTTTGGGAAGAGATCAAAGGTAGATTGACGCGCAATCACATGGTGTCAAGGACACAATACGGTGGAGGAATGGATCATCTTAGCGTTTCGGCGACCGGGCGACTGGATCGCGGCATATCCGGCGAAATGAAAAGGGGCAGTGCATGGGGCTGAAAGCCAATGCGCAGACCACGGTGGGGGCCGAGAAAGAAAGGGGCCGAGGGGGAAAGAAGGGGGAAAGAGAAGAGAAAGTGCGTCGACGAAGAGGAGGAGAGGGCGATGGGTCTTTTATAGATGGATGGCAGACCGGGAGGGCGGTAAAAGCGGCGTGGGAGGCGCTAAACCAAAGCGGGACTGAGGTGCGGGTGCCATTCCCGAAGCGGCAGGGGGACTTCGAATTCGGGCAGGCGGTGGGACGGGAGCCGTTTTCGGCCCCCCGCTCACCGTGTCAATTAATACTACGTATATAGGCTTCCCTTTTCCGCGATTCAAAATATTCTAATCTCTTTTCGCCTATATCTAGGACTCCTAGTACTTCTTTAGGTCGCCTCGACGTTGCCGAACTAACGCCTCTCTATACTCCTGCTTATTAGCCTAAAGTTTCTCTTAATTATTGTCGGATTTACGGGGTCAGCATAAATCCTTCAGCGTGCACAAGCAAGCAAGTGTGCACGGTTGGTCAAATCAGTATACGATTAGCGAAGAATGGTATAGGTCAGGTCAAGCGATAGAGGGAGGGGGGTCGGCAGTATTAGATTGATAGTAGTCAGGTAGGCAGCGTGCAGTATTAGACTACTATACAATCAGGTAGGCCTAGAACTCTCTCTTAATAAGGTCAGGTCAGACGGTCTAATCGTAGAACGTCGGGATCGTGATTGTGCGATTCAGCCAAGAACCCACAATTATGGAAGAATGACTATCCACAGGAAAGGGGTCGGCAGTCTTAGATAGGCAGTAGTCAGGTAGGCAATATGCAGTATTAGACTAGAGCTACACTATCAGGTAGGCCTTGGTCTCTCATGTGAATAAAAAGAGTGTCAGACTTGATTCAATTCAGCTATGGAAAACAGGCAGTATTTATAACTTCATGAAATCGAGGCAATACGTCAGACTAGAATCTTATAGAAATCAGGAGAAATAAAGTGTTGAAGCTCTTTCGTCATGTGTGTAAGTTGTTGATGTCAATCGTTGAAGATCGTCGTCACGTGTACGTTCCGTCGCATTCTGTCACGTTCGATAGCTCTCATAGGGCTTATACACCCACTCATGTTGACAGGGGCTTATACACCCACATATGTTGACAGGGGCTTATACACCCACATATGTTGACAATTATTGTTTTCTTTAGAGATTTAGATATCTGCTTATATTTTTACTATCTTAGGTAATATTAAAATACTCTCCTTTATATAAGTAGGTAAGTCTAAAGGCAGACCTAGTTCACAAAATTAGCTGTAGCCTTAGAAGTATTTAATATATTTTGTTTGAACTTCCTTATTAAGTATAGTTAAAACTGTATTTATAGAGGAGTAGTAGGCTTAATAGTATTCTAGGAATATCTTAGGGTCTTAATAAGCTAGAATTTAGGAGACTAGCGCGGAGCTATACCTTTCTGTGCTATACGTTAGTAACTAGACTACGTTTAGTAGAATTAGTATTAAAATAACTTACTTTTAACCTCTTCGGCTAGATTTCTTCTAGTATTATATATAGTCGGGTACTCGCTGTATCCGGCTGTATTAAATATTAGATAAAGATATTAATAGAAGTCTTTGTGTGTAAGAGGGATATCTTAAGGTCTGTAGGCTGTGTTATTCCGAAAAATAGGCTTTTTTAAATAGCTTTCCTTCTATTATAATAGTATTTCTCTATTTAATAGATTATATTTTACTAAATCTGCCTTAGTTTTAATTCCGAAAAGAGCGCTATATATTAGTGTAAGTCTAAGGAGTAGATCGCCTAATACGAATTATAGTTACTTGCTATTACAGATACCTATTCCGAAACTAGTTTTATCTTAGCTTTCTAAGAGGGAGAAAAAGGGATCTTTCTGTTATATACTATATAGTCTAGATCTCGATTGTTCTTAAGCTAAACCTAGTTTACTCTTTATATAACTTCCTAGAGAGTAGTAGATAAACGAAGTAGGACTAAGTTAATATACTAAAATTATAGTTTAGAATTAAACTAATCTTTTAAGATATAATTTACCTACTTCGTATCAGAGACCTCTTTCCCTTTTATTCTTATCGGAAGGTATAAAGGACCCGACTCTTACGCCTGTAAAGAGGTATAATTAAAGAGCGAATAATATTTAAACTTTAATTAGTCTAGGAATAAACCTTTTATAATTAGCCCTCTATATTAAAGAAGCTACCTTTAAAAAGTCGTCTCTTTTAAAGTTGTACTTCTGTTTATTCCGATTTACAACTTTCTCCTCTTTCGTTAAGGTGTTTTTATCTACTATATACTATCGACAGTAGAGTTAGTATTTACCTCGGAAGAGAGGAAAACAGGAACCTATACTATATATTTCTTTTTAATCTGTCTTAGGGACCTTAGTTTTAGTAACCTCTTTAAATCTACCGAAAAATCTCTCCGCGTACGCCTTAGTTATTCTTATAGTTAGTTTCCCGCTCTTATTAAGTCGGCCGATAATCGAGTCTGTATACTAGCGAATAAATACCTTTACTATCTTATAGCTTAGAGGGGGGTAGCTAGGAATAGTTTCGTAGTGTTAAAATCTATTTTCTAGGTCTACTGTAAAGCTAGAGAAAAGTTAGTCTTATTACTAATTAATAGTTGTATATTCTGAACCTACTTAAACTAAAGATCTAAGGTTTGTTGATATAATTCTTTAGTCTTTAGGAGCTTCTTATCTTTGTTCCGAACTTCGTCTTCCTCCTTATAAGCTCTAGGGATATATCTATTTATCTACCGACAGAGACGCTGCCTTTCTTTAGCTTAATCACTAAGCCTAGCGAAATAGGCTTTTCGGCCTATACTCAGATAGTTGTCTGACTTAGAGTTGAAAGCGCAACCTTTTAGGAAGGGATTAAACTTTAACACAGGTAACAGGATAGAGGGTTATATAGGTTATAGGATACTAAAGGCGGATTAGAGTCACCCTTTTATATTCGAGAGATTACAAAGTCTGTGTGATACGTAATAGAGTAATAACCCTGTTTAACTGTATCGCCCTGAAAAGAGCTAGCTAATTCCTATATTAATGCAATAGTAGGAATACAGTCCTTTAGTTAAACGGAGGCACTCAGCTTCAAATATAGGCGCGCTAGTGTTCACAGAATAAATAACCCTATAGACTATACCAATTCGGGAATAGCTAGAAGGACGCTAAGATACCAACGCTGATTAGACGTGAAAGCATTAAAGGGTGAGGAAGCACTGAGTGATTACTAAGCAGTCCTGATTAGTCACTAAGCGGTCACTGAACGATCACTGAACGATCACTGAGCATTATTCATCTATCACATGACTCTCCTGGATTAATCACTGAGCCTGAGCCCGTGCTGACATTTACTCACTGGGCCTGAGCCTGAGCGCCCTCATAAAAGCAGCGACAGCCGAGATAGGAAAGCCCCACCCGCCAGACACTATCCGGTCTATATAAGTGCATATTCCGAATACTTTTGAAACTTTCACTGTACCTTTTAGGAAAATTATTGAACTTCCATCAACACAAGATAATTGCTTCCACTTGAGATTTAGCAATCGTCTTTCAACTGATCATTCGAATGCTAAGTCGCCGTGTGTGACGAAGAATACTTCCAAAGGCCGGTTTAGCGATCTCATACTTGGCCTCTTGACGACGATGAGTCCGTTGAGCGTGACCTCTGGTACTTGTTAGAGCCAGCTTAAGTAGTATGGCAGCGTATGCTGAAGGGGGAACCAATTGCATTAATAAATGGTCGACTGATACAACAAAGAGCTAAAGAGCGTAGTAAACAGAGGGCATGTTAAATACCCATCTGTCGTTTCCGATAATCGGACGAAAGGACGGATAGTAAACTCCGTCACTCCAGTGCAATGCTGTTATGGCAATCTAACGATAGCCGAGTTCCCTTTCGATGGTAAGAAGGAGATGAGAACGGCCGGAGATTATTGAACCACAGACCAATGTTCTACTCGCGTGACAGTTAATTGGCTGATCTGGAATTATCCGGAAAGAAATTCTTTACATCGCCTCCAGCAGTCTAGTACTCTTGTCATTGTGTCACGCGAACATTTGTTTCCAAGGCCTGGCAGCTTCCGATAACGGTTGATATACGAAGAGGCTGCGACACTTGAGCTTCATTGGATCTTAAATATATTCCCGCCTGTTAGGGCACGAATAGTGTGTTGAGATTTTAGCAGTCTTCAATGCCGCTGAGACCTTAGTAGATAGTAGGTAGTCCTCCCTGACGCACACTAGCCTTATACGGTAACGTGAATCTTCGGGAAGTGTGTATAGCACACTCCCACTCAGGGGTTATCTTAGTTATAGACATCTTCAATATTATTCAATTGCTGGCATATGCTATGGCTCCTAGACCCTATCCCTCATCTCAACATAGTGCACGTAAGGACGCTAGTGCCTAGGGTCCGGGGGTTAATTGGTTCTCGGTTGCTCCTCAATTAGCTACGGCCCCCGCGCCTCTCATCACCCCGTCAAGTTGAATTAATTGAACTTGTTGGGCTTGGTTGTGATAATCGATTCTAAATTGTTTAATAGGCGTTAGTGATCCGCTTGCCCGTTTACTACGTTAGGTGGTTTTGGTTATAATGTGATTTATCGAAGCCGTGGATCAGATGGGTCTGTCCCATAGCAACGGGCTAAAACATTGCTCTTGTTTCGGCGGCTAAACGATCCGCTCGGCCGAGTCGGCGTGACCCGAACCTAATTGTTAGGTCTGAAAGTTGTATTGCGGGAATGCGAACCAAGGTTGGCTTAACCTCTTATTTAAAGTTCTAATTTCGGCGCAATTAATCTGATGTATATTTTCTGGGAACGGAAAACCCTACAACTAGAGGCTTTATAGCAACTTAGACTTGTGAATAGAGAATTGCGCAATCCAAAATATGTAGCCAAATAAGTCCATTCTTTCCGCTGATCAATTTCACTCAAGTACCTCAGATGGGCAAAATTGCGTGCGGGGCGTGACGAGAGCGAGGGAACGCAGCCAACAATGCATCCTCCCGTTCCATGCTAGATCCCTTCTTCCGACATATTCACTTCAAAATCTAGACTTGCTCACTAGACGTCAGTGAGCGCGGCGCGTCCAGACGAAAACAGTGACGGGGACAGTTGAATAGAGTCTTCTAATAGGATAGATCTAGGACCAGAACACCTACAAGCCAAGTTCCAGATATTTGTCCGGGCAAACAAACTTACGACCTGAGCCTATTGGATGTTAAGAAGCACACGAGAAGGAATTCACTATAGTCTCAGGACTAGCTGTATAGGTGCCGTGCTACGTATGCTTTTGAGTGATAAACTTAATTTTATTGCACTTTGAGGTGTTGGTAGTAAATGGTTACAGCTGAATGTGACTTTTAAGGCTGGTAGATAACCGAAAGGTCAAGCGGCAATAGGCTACGATTTCGCGAACTGACGGAAAAATTTAACTGGGTGTGGTGTCAATGCCGACTTTTCCACACTCACCTGGCGATAGCATAATGAGGTCATAATAAGATCACAAGAACAGATCCAAAAAAAGGTATTTACGTGGAAATCATTTCATTTCTACCTGCGTAAAGAGGAGAAAGATATCACCACTAAAGTTCTTTACCTGCATCTAGTGCTAAATAAGCTTTTCAATATTCAAAATCCAAAATTGAATAGTATACAGCAGGAAGAGATTAGCCTTTCTCCCACACCCTCTACCGAGACTTAGTCGCCACGAATCCATAATAGCCTATAAAAACGCACGCCAGATGATGGTAATAGCGAAACCGCCACTGGGGATGCCTGGTACTTCACGTGAAATTGGGGCATGGTCCTAAAACTGGTTGAAGCAAAATGTACGCTGTTTCCAACAAAAAAAGGCTCAATATCCGGTGTCCACGGAAGACGTTTGCGAGCCGAGGAATGCTGCTCTGTTATTGGACGGGCGAATGAGTTTTATTACAATACTTCGGACAACCACTTCTCATGACGACGATAAGGGTACTAGATTTCTATAAAGCAGGACTAATCGCACCTGCTCAAACCACAACCGAAGTTCCTCCTAGTGGCTTCTTTTCTAGTCGCATTTTTTTCTGTTCCTCATCTACAAAATGCCTATCCCCCACTATGGCGTTTGGGTTGGCCGGCCTACCAGATATACCGCCGAAAGGGCAAGGGAGGACCCTAAGTCCCCGCATATCCACCTTAAGTTCACGGACGGGTCCTCGAAGGAGTTGGAAGCTGCTTTAAACGTCAAGTCAATTGACAAAGACTCTCGTCTTGTATTCTGGCTGACGGATGACTTCTCCAACTCTCCCATTATCGAGCAACTTTCAAAGCTAGACGAAGGGTTCCACCTAGCCCAGTGGTCAAGTGTAGACAACAACAATAACAGCGGCATCGAGGGCCACCGCCGTAACCGTCACCACCAGGCTCGTCGGCTTGAATCTGACCTACACGGACTAGACTTTATCCGCACAGACGATCTTATCAACATTAAGTCCGGACAGGTCTTGCCACACGACATCCCAGGTGAGAACAATGACATTTTGGATAAGATGGAACCTATCCTCAAAAGTGCAATCGGCAAATCAACTACCTATATATTTGGATCATCCTTTGGATCAGGTATCCATGATGTTCACATGAATCAAGGCAGTTTACCTAGGTTTGACAATGGAATCTATGAGGATGGGGCTATTTTGTTCCAGTACGACGACGGACACTGGGAAGGAGTCTTTTTGGCTTTTGCGTCGCAGAGGATCCCAACTGATCCTAATGGTGAGCCAGAGGAGGATAGCAATACATTGGCAGATATTCTTGGTTTTTAAATGCCACCAAAGCGTTAGTATGATGGGATAGTGAATTATTTTGAAGTGGACTAAAATGATATGGATGTTCTATGCAACACACCTCTCAGCTGCGCACTCTTCACCTTGCAGTTGGATTTGTATTCCCAGCACGGGGTCAGATTTTGGAAGAGACGTTTGAAGTTCACTTGGTTGGAATAAGGTAGTTCCCAAAGAAGCTGCTTTTGCAACCCAAACCGGCCGTGTAGCCCCAAACTCAATCGTAATCAGCATAACTAACACTTTCAGATCCAAACAATATCTACGTTCTTGTATGTTTGAGAATATAAACTGAATTTAATATCTAAAGCGGCAGCGAGCTGGCGAGCTCGCCCCTTACACCAAGAAACCTTATTGTGACAGCCATGGCAGGCAGGTCACAAAGTGAGTGAAGAGCCGTGGTCTAGAGTTACCGGAGCAATTATTGCCCTGCGCAATGGAAGGTGACATATGAGTGAGGGATAAAACCGTCACGAAAGGTATCTTGCCTAAGTTTGCAGAAGCACGAAAGAGTGAATTGGTTTGTCGATCCATGGCAGATAGATGAACTAGTAGCAATTATCGTATAATAGATATCAGTAGGGGTTACCCCGTGGTAAGGAAGGGAAAAGCAAGAGCCCTACGCCCCACGTTGGTTGACTACCGACTCCTACCCGAGACAAGAAGGTCGAATAAAACCGCAGACGAACCAGAATACAGCGAGAAGGAGGGGGAAGAAAGAAATAAAGCAGTAGAAGAAGCAGTCTACTGGCTGGACTATTGTTGACACTTTAACTTTGAATTTCTGTGGAGAACGTAACCGAATGTAGACATAATCACCTGTGGTAGCAGGGCGCGCAGGAGAGGCACTCCCCCCTTCCGTCCTTGCCCTATTCCCTCGCAATCTCGTTGCCTTCCTTAAATAATACAAGCTCATACGTGGTCTCTACACTGATTGTAACTCCTGCAAGGGGTCAGATAAGATGACACAATCAACCAAGTGTACTACCGGGAACGCTCAAATGTTTCTCTTTCGCCATACTAATAATTATTTCTATACGCCAGAACAAGAATATATCCAATAGCTTCCTTACTGGCCGTAGCAAGGATTCTAAGACCACTGTTACAATGAATAGAACAATACGAAGCAACAGCTTAGCACAATATTCACAATAGCAAACAAAAATCTAGACGAAAGATACCTGCCTGTAACCTAAAGGCACCCACCAGTACTGGGCTCGTACCCCATATCGATTATCCCTTGTGTGGGTCCAATATAATACTGTACACCGTGGCTACCGCAATAAATCTACAATTAAAGTTTCTTCTCCAGATGGCTTCCTTGCGGAAGCCAGGTCAAGGTCTCCATATCCGTACCGCTCCATAATAAGCTCCGTCTTTATTGGGTCCTCTGCAAGGAACCAACTCTTGCTCTCCAAGTATGCGGCTAAGTTAGTCGGCTCAGCCGAAGCTATCGCGGGATCTGTCGTCTTGATATAAGCCTTGACGATGTATTCGATTCCTGTCATTGCCGAGTTGAGGAGGGGCAAAATCTCAAGATATAGCGGCATCCCCTTCCACAGGCCAATGGAGCGGCTGACCAGGACGGGGCCAAAAATGCGTACAGCTTGGATATCTGACAAAACGAAGTCCTACACAAGAGAATAATACAGAAAATTCGTGATCCATATGTCACGGGCATCTAAAACCACATGCTACCTATTCGTTGCTGTCCAGACATTTTCTGGCAAGAGTGGCTATCATACTCTTCTTGTCGTTATAGATGGCTCTTATCGGAATTTATGATTAGTCACATGCTACTGTGACCTTGAGAATTTTTGAAATCAGTCAATACTTCCGATAGTGGGAAGAGAGGTCCAATCTGATAAAGGCGATGCGACCAATAAAAAATAGGACAAATGAATCGAACCAATCTTACTAAAACAGATAAAACTGCATATAAACCGAAATGCTGAAAACCAAGCTTCCGCTATACCGACTTAATAAAAAACGGTAAGATGTTTAGAGATGCTAAGAACTAAGAATACGAGCTTTCAAATTGTATATAATTTATACCTATATAATATTATCTGCGCTCTAAGGTGGACATAATTGCTCGATTTTCCTATATAGAAACTAGTCTTAGTAGACGGAAATCTATACCTTCTACGCGATCAACTAGGATGAGCAGGAAAACATGTTCTATAAGGCGAGTAAGGAAGACACGGACGAGCGTATTCTGCACGAATAGTAAGGAAGAAATAGAAAGGCATAGGATTAAGGGATTTTAGTGCTAGGTCTAGAGAAAATATAGCGCTCAGGCGTCCTGATTTGGAATTACATTTTATTTATGATATCGTATAGGGCCAGTCGCAAACTACATCTTAAATAGCTTTGCAGTCCGAATACAGCGAACGTATAATCAAGTGTATTCGTAGAAACTTATGGCGATTTAGAAACATTAGCACTCTCACAAATCGATTTATTCCGAGACACACTATGATACCCCGAATTATAAATGCCCTATATGATCATCTAGTTGAAAGACTAGCCCTTTATCTAGACGAGATGGCTGTTTTCCCGCGGGATAAATTCGAGACCACGGTAACGACCTCAGGCATCCACAGAGCTCTCGTAACCCACGTTTAGTCTAAGAGGAAGAGTCCATAGAAAGCAAGAGAGCAAGTCCCTTAAGTGGGACTTATCTACCTATTATGTCGGACCTCCATTCGTATTACCTAGTCTACGTTAAAGAATCTACGTCTAATGAATGCGCTGGTTTTGAACGAACGAGGTGGCCAGCTCTTGGCTAAGGCTCATATACTAGTGTCTCGGCTCTATCGCGACCAGCGACACCAGATATAGTACTGCTAGCATATGCTAAAGATGGGTTAGTCCTTACGTGTCTTCTGTAGCTCGACTGATACGGCGACGTTCGAGAACTTCATTGGTGATTTTCTCCAGCATTTTGATGAATAATGTATTTTCCATGATTCTGAAAAGATATTGCAGATCTCTGCTGATGCTGTTGTGGGGTTGGGAGATCTGCCACCATACTTGCCAGTCCTCAATCCGATTGAGGAGGTCTTCACGTAACTTTAGGGCGTTATCAAGCTGAAATAGGGCTACGTTAAACACTATCCCAGCCAAGGATCTTCCTCGAATGGTGTATAAAAGTTGTCGATGGGAAAGAAGACAACACAAGAGGTCATTTTCAACATGCCGGCCTAAAGATAGAAGCTTTGGAAAGTTAAGTACATATTACGGTATAAAGACAGACTACGAAACGAAGTGCATAGTAATACAACGATCATTATGACTTCTCATCCATCATTAAAGATACACCGTGTTTCTAGCAGTTCATAACAGTGACGTCGAGGACAGCCGCAGCCTAGTCGCATTTAGGGAGTTTTTCTAACTTCGTCAGTCATGTTCAAATACCAGCAAGATGTGACATACTGCTCGAGCAATTGCTATCCGTAAAGTACCCATTAACGTAGCACGTCGTTCCCAGGGATGTGACTTGATCCCAGGAGCTACTCCCATTAGCATGCAGCTCGTAATAACCCAGTATTGAACCTACCAAACACCATTGAAGCAATCGCCGTGCTTCCAGCACGCAAAGGTGAGTCTATCTCCCTTAGGAAACCCAAAGATTGCGCCTGCATCTAACTTCGCATCATACCGGCAGTTGACATAGTGGTCGACATTGACGATTTTGCAATCCTGCGCTGATGCGCGCTTTCCAAGGTCCAGTTCTGCATCTACTTCAGCTTCGGGGTTCGTGACGGGGGCACCAGCGGCCAGGATGGGGAGGAAGGCGACCGCGAGACCGAAGAACTTCATCTTGTTTCGTTAACTGACGCTTGTTCTATTATGAGAGACCATTGCAGAATAATGGTGTACTTATACATTGGAATTTTCATAGCCTCGTATTACCCAGCCCACTTTCTCGTGTTCCCGCTATTCATAGGCAAATAGCGCACTTTATCCGAGGTTGCATTCTCGTATCCACCCATTTTTAGTATCTTTAACATTGGAGGTTTAACATCGATAATAAGCAGTGGCCCAATAGCGGATGTAGAACACTTGTTTGCGGATTTTTTCACAGAGAAATTAACGAAATGATAGGCTTGAACAAAATATTTGGATCGGTCGGAGGATGGCGATAGTTGTAGGGCTTCTCAGCTTCAGTCTTCACAGAAAATGACAAGGTCGGAGCATAGTCTCGCCTGGCTCCCTTAAACGGTGACGCTCGATGACTCGATAAAATGTCTTTCGAGCGAAAAAAGTCATGATAAGATCCTCTCTCTAAGGCTTTGTAGACGGCGTTATGGGAGCTTCCAGAGAGCGAGTGGATGGATATCAACGCCCTAGGCTGGGCTGAGCAGATCTTGACGAGGAGCATAGAGGCTGCACCCTCTATGGCGTTACGGGTGAATTACTATATCTTACGAAATGTAAAAAGAAAGGTTTATGTTTATTACCTGAGGATCTGCGACTGAAGGTAATATAGAAAAGCGTGCTTCAGGGTAGAGCTGGAAAAATAATAGTACACGAGAATAAGTGGGAAATCTGATTTCGTATCATACTCCGGAACTCCGTCGAATCTGCGGGGTGCTCGCTACGAACAAATACACCGTCAAAGCAAAACGCCAACAGCGGACGTAACAACGAACATTTCCGCCCGTCTAATATATTGATGAAACAGGGCAACGGACACAACAGCCCTGAAAGTAGGGTCTGTCGTTAGTCAACCTATTATCGCCAATGTCCTTTCTGCCACAAGAGATGGCACCAGTCTTTGCTCGACCTGCCTTCCTATTTGTGGAACTCCAGACCGAGATCTTAAGCGACATACTTAGCTGGATTGCAGAGCGTGGGTGTTTATTCCAAATTATGCAAATGTGTCGCCTGTTCAGACATATGATTGAACCACTCCTGTATCGCTCTATACATTTACATCTACCATTAATGCCCACATCGCGAGACTCCCGTGGGGGCACCTGCAACCCAGGGCACCTCGCCGGGCTTATTGGTGCATTGGCTGCTCGACCTCAACACACTCGTCTTGTTCAAAAACTCTATCTGCAGCTTTAAGATCAAAATCTCGAACCTGTTTGCACACCTTCAAGAGCTAACTCTAAGCCCGCCTTCCCCGCATTTGGATCTTACTGGCATGCTGTTCCTCAAATATCTACGAATTGACTTTGGTGCCATGGTCTATCATCCTCAACAGGTACAACAGGTACAACTTGTTCTGTATCACTTCTGAATTCCAACTCTTCGTATCCTACAAATCGAATCGCTCGGACTCGAAAGTTAATTAGTAGATCTACTTCCATTATAGAGGCACCAGACGTCACCTATTATCGATCTTCGCATTCATGCCAATACCGATGTGGACCAATCTGTTAGCATTTTGATTACCCTCCTGAACTCTGTGAAGCCTTTGAAACGATTCACGCTTAACGCCGAGCTTGATGCTGCAGTATCAATTGTGGTACATGATTGTTTGTCCCTGGGTGTAATTCTTTGCGCCCTGCGGCTCCACGCGGACACACTCGAAGGCATAATCATTGCTGCTAGTGATGGTGGTTCCATTCGTCGGACCACACCAACATGCAGTATCATACTTTTCTCTTCACTCAGGAAATTGGCAATACCAATTAGTTGCTTAGAATATCGCGAAGGATCAAAATGCGATCTTGTATTACCGCCAAAGCTCGAAGAGCTACAGCTGCAACAACAAGAATGCTATGAAGAAATCTCGGCTTGGTATTGCTGTTATCAAGGCCTGAAAGCTCTGGCCAAAGGGAAGCGCAATGGCTTTCCCGAGCTAAAACTCATTGTTTGGTTGGACCAAATGTCCATCGCGTGGTCTGAGTGGTCGGAACGAACCCCTATACCACCAATTGGAACCCTTATTCGTACCTTTGAAGAAGTGGACGTCTTATTTAGTTCGATTACGCATCCTTCTTTTAAGGGGTCGCCTTTCGGTAAGGCATTCTGGCCTCTCCCTGTAGGGAATAATATGATTACCCAGTCATCATTATGTCATGTATCAATGCGTGTATTTAGTATGAATTGTGCCTATCCAGCTTCCAAGGATTTCTCTCCGAATGCCGGAAGCAACATTTATTGATAAAAGACCAAAAGCATCCCGTTCAATCCGTCGTATCTATGCAATATTCATTAGCCAACAACCTACAGCGGTCATTGCTCCTTGCAGTGTCAGTCAATCCTCATGATCTTCCCAGGACACAACATACTGGTAATTGGTAAAGACGTACTAGCTTATCACATAACAGCTGCATAATCATAGTAGACCCCTTATACGAGTCCTCACTGACAGTGTTAAGCTCTGTATGGTGAGTCAGGTGCGACACGTTAGTTTCAGTAAGCAACGTACCAGCAATTGCATCATCAAACGCCTTCCTAGCTAAGTTGCAAGCCACAAAAGGATGATCCAAGATCTCTCAGTAAAAGGCCGAAAAGTTTACGGCCACGGCCAAAGGAGTGGAGGTGTAGGAGTTAGGTGTACGAAGGCACCTTCTTTCGCTTCTTTATAGGCCTTAGCAGCATTATCGGCGTTCCTTTCTTGTTGGTCATGTATAGAACTCTCGGCGAGGAACCAGTAGGAGTCAGCCTTCCTACATCAAAATTCAGCAACGTCATGTTACACCTTGGGGCGTATGCTAAGAGCTCATCATACGAGCATTTTAGAGTAAAGTAAAACATTTTAGATTCGCCAGAAACGGCTTCAGTTAGCAACCAATTATCAACAAGTTCTATAATATCGTTGTGGACAGTCTCGAGCTCCATTTTGATAACCTTTCGGTACTCCTGGACTCCTGGACAAGCTTTGCCTGCACCATTGCCGCTTTGCTCTCCTGCTTCAGCTCGATTGAGCTGGGCTATCTCCCCGAGACACGGCGAAGGTCGACAATTTTCTCGTAGGCGAGCGACAGCAGTTTACGCTCATTGACAGACAGTTATTGTCTAAACTGAGAGACCTTCATGTGCTTGACCGTATCTGTAGGCAGCTCAAGGCGTTAATACGAGGCTCCTCGTAAACGACTAATGCAGCCAATATACCTTTGTATCACTCTGTCTGTCTGGTAAGAATTGCCATTTAGACATGATCATCGCTGGCGACCATGATTTGTTCGGGCTTTCTAACGTTCTATGCGGTATTGTGTTAGCAGCTTCATTTCTTGCCTTAGTATCTAGGTTTTCAACGATACTAGTCAGTTAAATATTCTATTCAGGTTCGAAGAACCCGTATCAGCTTTGGTATGTGCCAAATTGAGAGACGAAACATACGCTGGCAACGATACAAAACGTGGTAAGAACAAACTCCACGGAAGAGATGAAGGATAGGATCATCAGCGTGTACTCGATTCCCCGCTATTCGTGTCCGAACATCCATCAACCATCTTCACCCATGGAAACGCCCAATACCAGCCCATACGTGATTTCCTTGATTTGGCGGATGGCTAGTGTCTTACACCCTTTGTAAAAAGCGACATCGTCAAGTGACATCTTAGTCGGATGGTTTTAAGCGACGTAATTTTGGACAGCAACAGCGGCATGACGGCGGTCATGGGTATCACACGGATAACTGCACTCGTAATATGATGAACGTGTGTAATTGGGCGAATCCATACTTCAAGACCTCCTTAGTGGTCTCTAGAGCGAATGATTTCTGTCTATTTTTCTGTCCTGCTAGGGAACTAAGTCTTCACAGCAAGGCATTGATTGGGTCCCGCTAATGAATTGAACAATTAATGTCTAACAGCGACGTCATTGAACTGATTTCTAGTCGTGACGTTGCTATCGGCCCGTGTTGGTACTATTATTGATGGTGTAGAGGTAGGCCTTGACGCCGATCTTGCCCGTGCGCAGCTGGGTGCGCTGTATAGATGTTAGAAATAGCAAAGAACTCTACATCATCCCGCTGAAAGTTAATTCGTTTGATTCATTTGAACCCACCCTCATTAGCCGCGTTATGACCTCTTTTTCTCCAAACATGGACAGGCCTAGCAAACCCTTCTTCGTCCCTCTCAAATTTAAGTATCCTCTCAAATCCCTCCGCTTTCAACTCATCATCAAACGGTGGTTTAATCTGGATAGCCTTATACGTCTCTCTCAATTCTTTATTTTTCTTCGAAGCCCTCGCATAATTGCTCATAGGCTGCGGCTCAACGACGAGATAACCCTCCTCATTCAGCATTCTTCGTATATGCGCAAACAGCGTCAATATCCCGGCGTCCCCGTTGTTCAGATGAATCCACTTTGTCACAGAAAGCAGTAGGACGACGTCGAACTTGCCCAGCGCGGTACCCTTGTACGCGGAGACATCAACAAAGTCAAAGTGCTCGAATGTGCAAGGTCCGTCCGGGTACGCCGCCTTCGCCTGCTCGACCAGCCATGGGTCGATATCGACGCCGACTGCAGCAGCCGCGCCACAATGCGCTATCACCTCGTAGGTCAGTTTGCCGGCGTTGCAGCCGAGGTCTATTACTCGCGCGTTGTGGAGGATCTCTGTTGGAAGCATTGAAAGGCGTTCGTCCGGGACGGTGGGCGCCCGGAACTTGGCGTAATATTGGTGGTAGTTGCCATGGCGTGCGGCGAGATGCGTAGCTTTGAAGCGCTCTGCTCTAGAGATTTCTGTTGCAGGGGGATGGTCATGGCGTGGTTCCGCCATATTTGGGATATTGAACGAGCGGAGAGGCACACGTTCTTGATTTTATCGATTATGCCGAGATGAACATTTGTAATGATGTGGCGAAGGGGAGTTCAAGCTTCAACCTCTCGTGATGCCAAAGTTTTCAATAGAGGTTTGTAGAGTTTGCATGTTATTAATGCCTGAGGCACAACTATCAAGTCGGAAATAAATACTGCTTAGTAAAACATGGTGCGCACCAATTGGATATCAACAAGTCTGAATTGCTATAAAGCCCCTATCTGGCAATTTAACTAGTTAACTTATGTGGGCATAATAATGACTAATACATGCGGTCCAATACTATCTCCGTTCTCCGGGATCCACTGCTGCTTCTGTTCCGTCATATCAACAGGCCGGGAACAGTAGCCCCGAGATTATCACTACTACCCAGGCTTACTGATCGAGGAGAAGAATGGGTTTCAGACTTTAAATTCAAACCTGGCCATTGCTTAATTTCCTTCAATATTAGCGGGGTAGTAGATACTCCCTGTAGCTCATAACTGGTACTACCTGACATCCGATGCCTAGATATCCACAATTCATATGACGTCAGCTTTGCTTACCGTCTCTTTCCACGTCCTCGCAACTTGTACAACCGACACCTATACCGAGGTCGTTTTCAACATGCCATTCAGACAGGCGCTTCAAGGCATAATTGATAAGGCAGACAAGGCTTGGGAGGGATTCAGCCATCCCGCCCCCCAGCCGGGACCATCGTACAACAAGCCTCCCCCACCACCAATTCCAGCCTCCACCAAACCACCGTCTTCTCAGGAGCAGGGCTCACAACCCCAGATCTACTGGCGGCCCAATTTACATCCCCAACTACCGGTAACCACCAACTTCCTCCACGAACAGGGTCAACATGGATGGGGCAACAATGAGGCGCAGAATTATATCGACAGCCCACACAACTCATTCCATTCACCCCATGGTGATGCAGTGATCGTGCGCGCCCTGATCAACCACGGACATCCCGACCCTGCCCAGAAATTTACCAGTGCAAGACTGTCGAGTCACCAGACCCTCAGTCGACCACGGGGCTGTCTGTCGGCCAGGATTATAGCGCCGGTCGCACGAGGTATCTGGCCTGCCTTTTGGCTGCTGCCTAAAGACCCCTTTAAGTGGCCTGAGGATGGTGAAGTGGACATCATGGAAGCGTGGAACGGCGATGCTGTTAACCACTCCTGTCTGCATTGGGGTCACTTCAACGGCCAGGACTGGGACAAGCATCGCGTCCTCGAGACCCCCATCCCTGACCTTAACTCGCTGCCGGGAGTGAGGTATGACTTTATCTGGGATGAAGACGAAGCAACGGGCAGGGGGCGCTTGATCTGGCTGATTGATGGCAGGCCCATCATGAGAGCGAAAAAGCCGCCTGGAATGAGGAAGATGAGTGAGTTCAGAATCCTCATCAACATCGCTGTTGGGGGAAATGTCTGTCAGGGAAATATGCCCGGTGATGGATGCTACGAGACCGTGATTCGTGAATTGGCCATGTGGGACGCACCACCTGGGGGTTGGAATGGATTTGAGAGGACTTGGGCCTATTCCAAGGATGGCAATACGATGTAATAAAATCGCCTTGACTAATAGTATATACTGGATAACTGTTTTCAGGTTCCACTTCTATGGTCTGAGCGAAAATTATAGTTAAGGTAGTCAAATGCGCCTTTTATGTAATAGCATGGACCCACGTAAGATGACACCATGCGTACAGAACGATACTTCAAGGAATTATCTTGAAAGCGATGGTTCATCTCTGTTCCACCTGGTGCCTCCTTACCGCCCTGCTGGCAGACCTTCAGTCTCCTTCTCATTTCATGCGGCCAACTAGTCATTACTTGCATTGCAACCTTGGTTACCGCTTTACATTTCCCTGATTCTTGATTTCAGGTTGCAGATTGCACATGGGCGTAGCTCTGTTTTCCGGCAACGCTCGTGGGGAGAAGGAAACACCGATGTCCTGATTCAAGCAATACCATCTTTTGGATATCCCTTGGACTAAGTCTGTAACAATGTGCACATGTCACCAAGAAATCATCAATAATCTAAACAGCGACTTGCGTAACTTGTCTGCCTGGAATTTCACCTTGAAAGACTGTATCCAAAACGAAATCGTACCCGGGATGGCAAAAATAGGAACAGTCCACGATAGATACGGGACAGGGTTGATGACGCTGTAGTCCGTTGAGCTGTGTGCGCAGCCATCAGAGGCGAGCCTTGCTATCACTACCCAGATGGCTTTTTCCCGGGGCGACAATCACTGGGACAAAAACTGCAAAATAAAGCAGCACTCGTGCTCCCCAGCGCGTCATTGGTTGCTCGACAACCAGGCCGAAGAAAGTTACGAGTATGCTATTGACTTGCAAAAATGCCATGGGCTGTATCTCGGCGATCTCAAAGGTAGATGGGTTCGGTGACAGTTTTACCAGTGTCGCTATGGCGAAAGAACCGACGAACCATTCGAAGAGAAAAAATTCGTTCAAATGTCTTTTAATTCTCGGAAGAAGCCGCTTACTAGCGCTAGGGTGAGATAGACTATACGATAAACCAGGCCGATGAGGATAGTCAGTCCGGTTTGTATGGTGTATGCATACATCATCTGGATTACGTGGCGGTACAATCAATCAGCTATAACGTCGGTGGGCAAATACAGAAACTCTGGACTTGGGAACTTACGCCGATCCCAGAAAGATTAGGGTTTCCCACCCTGGATTTGAGGAGGCACAGATTCTGGCAGTTCTGGACCTCCATGGTAATGTTTAGACCGTTCCTATTGAAATAATCGAAGAATTTTATTTTTTTGGAGTTATAAGTTCCCGCATTCTCTACAGCGGGCGTTCCTGTGGGTGTAGATGATGTTACGCTCGAGACTTCGGATGGAGTTATTCCCTGTGGGTGCTACAGAACACTCTAAGTGTAACAGGGAGTACACCATGATGTAGTGTAGGAGTGGCATAGCTGCTTTTGGTAATATAAAGAGCTCCCTAGTGGAGATTCTTGAACCTTAAGTGTGATTTATTGAGGAGACATTGCCATTTTTCAGACGTGGGCACGCTTTGAATAAAAGCTCACTAGCTGACAAGGCCGCTTAAACCACAGATTCTCGCTAAAACTACTTCTACGACATAGCTACAGAATAAACCAAGCTTGGCTGAGTCGACTCACTTGGCAAGCGGGCAGGATTCTATCACTGCTTCATTGAAAGGCATCAGCACCGTCTTGTTATCCTTTAAAGTGTGATTAACCTGGAATTAAAACAGCTGTCATGCGTGAAGATTGGAAAGGGATAATCATGTCAGTCGATTTTCATCTAATGATGAGATCAGAGCTACGCTTAGATAACGGCCCGACCCAACTAGCGTTCGCAGAGCTTGTCGCTTCGCCGTGGCACATCGAATATCACAGGATGGCGCTAATTCCGGGTCTAATTAAGTAAGCCCACCTGCCAATGCAGGTCAGTCTGGTTGCGACTTAGCTAGCCATACATACCTTTTTCTTATGCAGTGACTCGCCCCACTATAAGACATGCTTTTGTGCGTAAAGCCTAAGCACCCAAGCACCCAACAAAGCAGCAGAAGGAAACTTTAACTGCATTCTCTAGTTCTGTATACATTTTACAAGGAACTCTAGGTCAGGGACGCCAAACAAATAGAGTGTACCACCTATCATGACCCATCAGAAGCTTGCTTGCTTGATTTCATTCACCCGCGAAATGAAGGTCTGATTCATCGACCTAGACCAGGAAATGTCTCTGACTTGGCCAATGCATCTTAGACCCAACTCAGCTAGCTAAACTGTAATGGCCTACGTCCCACATATAGAAAAGAGGCCTCAATCACACTATCGCCGACGCCACAACGGCGGACATCAACAAAAGTGATACCATAGCCACCGTGACAAGCAGACATAACCTACAACCGGGTGCTTATATCTCCAATGCCAATGTTAGTACCAAAGACAACACGTCCAGGGACTTGTGGGATAAAGCATATGCTATTCTCGGCGGAGAAGACTCGAAATTAAAGCAGAGATATGAAGAGATCTGATTAACCCACGAGGAAATGAATGGCGAACCGGGCCGTCGTCATCTAGGTAAGCTCATAATAATCGTACCATAAAATCTAATGTTTGATACCACTTTATTGCAGCACCACCTGGTTCATATCAACGCGAGCAGCGGCTACGGCAGATAGCGAAGAGCGTAGTCGAGGGAGTCGATCTGGGGCAATAGCAACTCAGAATTCGTAGCCACTCTGTGGATGTCAGCGATCAGTTTAACAAGGCTCCCAAAATTTTGGTTACAGCCAAGGAATTCGTATCATCGGCTGTTACTTCAGAGCCTCATGCCGCATTAGCGTGGGCTAGAGTGTGCATCTTCTTGCCGGTATGTTCCAAAGCTAGTAAATGAGTTGGGACAATATCTAATATTCTATTACTAGCTTCTTTTAAATCCATCAGAGCAGAATTCCGCTACTCATAATAGCCTAAAGGCCATTCCCCTAGCTGTGCGTAGATTAGGGGTGATAAAGAGACTTATCAGACGAGGAAATTCAAGCCTAGCTCAGAATAGCTATCAGTCTAATAGCCTAGACCTTGTCAAAGACTTCAAGGATACGGCTACCGAGCTGTATAAGACAATTCTCGAGTTTCAGTCAACTAGTGAGGCAGTATTCGCATAATTAGGCAAAGCGTTACGGGCGCGATGTTTTCAAAGCTGATGACTAGGCAATTCTGACTAGTCGGATCAAGAATCTGCTTAGCGCTAGACAGAAGAGGAGCGCAAGTGTGTACAACTATTTCGACAATCAAACTCGTACGAGAATCAGAAATACAGAACGCCAAAAAGGGTTTAGAAACGGGGAATTAGTTCTGGAGAATGAAATTTTCTCAATTGGCGCCAGGAGGAAGGTGCTGATCTGCTTTAGTTGTCTGCTAAGCCCGGTTCGGGCAAATCCGTTCTAGCAAGACAATTATTAATAAAGGTCTGGCTACCTTAAGTCATCAGAAAAAGTCTGCGGTCTGTTATTTCTTCTTCAAAGATATCTCCCCATACCAGAGAAGTTCACTTAGCGCTATATCTGCGATCTTGCACTAACTTTTCTCGGCATTCCCATCTCTAGTGACAGTGCTCTTATAGCTTATTATTTGAATAGGAAGGACTTAGTCTACTTGTTTAACGAGATATTTAGTATCCTCTGCCAAGCAGCTACTAATACCGCCATCGAACAAGTTGTGTGTGTACTGGATAGCCTCGATAAATACAGTGAGGAAGATCGATTCTCTCTGATTAAAGCAATCACTAAATTATACCACGAAACCAACAATGCTTCTAATCTTGACAATCAGCCCAAGTTAAAGTTTCTCCTAACTAGCCGTCCGTATTCACACATCTATTCGCAGTTCCACGATCTCATGAAGGAGACCCCTACAATCCACTTATCAGGAGACCATGAATCTAAAATGATTAAAGATGAGATTGATCTTGCCATTAATATCAACATTCCAAAGCTTGCTACTAAAAGAGGCTTCGATGAAGAGGCAACTGAATACCTTCTTAAGGAGTTACACACTGTCGACAACAGAACGTATCTATAGCTAAGCCTAGTTATGGACGAGATCCGCCTTAGTGAGCGACCGGCCAATAAGCGAGAACTGCAAAGGATTATTTCAGGGTTGCCGCGAAGTCTAATTAAGGCTTATGATAAGATCCTAAAGAGATGCCGCCACCCAGACCTTGCAAGACAGTTCCTGCATATCATCCCAGCAGCCCGTGAGCCTTTAACAGTCGATAATATAAAAATAGCTACTGCACTTGCGAGCGACTTTGACTATCGCTTATACGACGAAACTGGAATCCAACAGTCAGACGCTTTCGAAATAAGAATCAAAAATGCTTATAGTCTTACGGTTACTATTAACGACGGCTCTGTATTGCTTATCTATCAGGTGGCCAAGGAATTTCTGATTAAAGACAACGATGCGGCTCAAAACAGTGAGACTTGGAAGCATAGTTTCAGTTTGCTATCAATCAATCAATCAACACTCTATTAACCTGTTGCAGCCTAACTAGTGGCGTAATGGCTATGCAGGCGCTTCCTCCGGCGGAAGCAAGAGTGATCCGAACGCCAGCCCACACGCATGAAACAGTAAATACAAAGGAAAACGGCGTTATGCCATATAAATCAGCCCAAAAACCAGCCCAAAAACCAGCCCAAAAACAGTATCAAAACGCCCTTAGAGCCCTCAATCCCACGATATATCTCTCAATCCGCCCTCACATTGGTCTGCTGTATCCTCTGTATCCCTATCCCTGCTTTCCCTCTCCGGTGTCCGTATTATCTTCCTGCTTCGTTCTCAATTAGTGGCGTTCGTTGTTGATATTAGATGTATTCTTCCACGACCTCTCGGTTAGCCGTGGTTTTGGCGTTCCTCCTACCCAGCGTCTTCACCCCCTATGCCTGCCAGTCTATCCTAGCGGATCGTTTCCTTCGCCCTACAGGGGCTCCGGCTCGATTTCGACGTGCCGGAACTGTCCCAGGAGGCCTGTTTAAAGTATAAATTCAGCTACGTAGCGGGTAGCCTACGAGTGTGATACGATTGTATCGTAATCCGTCGAATCCCTAAGATTAGTTATCCGGATCTTGTTAAGGAAGGTCTGCCTTAAATTAGCGTACAACGGGCACTGTATTAAGATATGTCTCGGGGTTTAAGACCCTTCTCCACAGGAATACTTATCTGATTCGACCGCCTTAATTTTGTACAGGAAATAATTCAGTGCAATACGTATTAATCGTATTTAAATCAAAATTGAAGTGTAAGGCTTCGACAGGGAGTCGAATAGCCGAAGTACCTTCTTGTCTGGAACCTTTATTAATCGCTGATTTAGCTTACTAGTTCGCTCCTTTACCTACTCTTATACCTATCTCTCTTTAATACGCCGCTGCACTTAACGCTTTATAGTCGCTACTAGAAGGACTCGACCTACGGACCCCTCGGGGTAGGGTTATTCCGCTCTGTTCTTTATACCTCCTGTTACTACTAACTTTACCTTAACGTCGGTAGTCTTATTACTAGGAACGCCTATATATACAGGGATCTAACGGATCTCGATAGGAATTTAATCGAACGTAGGCGTTTACGATCAGAGGGCCCGAACGTAGTTATAAATACGTTAGAGCACAAACTAGCCCGACGATCGCTTTAGGTTTTGTACTGCCTAGATAGCGGCCTAGTAGTTAGAGAAAATCACTATCTTCGTAGGTCTTTAGCCTTCTAGCCGGTTAGAGAGGTTAGTAATTGTCGGATTTACGCCGTGTGCATAAACCCTGGTGTGTGGTGTGTGCTTGTAGGCACACACAGGTCGATCGAATACCACGATTATGGAAGAGAGACGAAAGTGCAATAGAGGTGGGTCGGCAGCGAACAGGTTGAACAGTGGAGGGCCAACGCAGTTTAATCAGAATTGCCTTAAGCTCTATTCGTGTGTGGAAATGGTGTCAAACTTGTTCAATTTAACTAGGGAAACAGGCAGTATTTATAACTTTGGGTACATGGCAGAATGTCACAGAAAAAGAGTCATGAAAGTCCGAAATAACATAGGGGCATACGAGAGTGTTAGGAAACTCGTTGCTTTTTCTATTTGATGCAGTAGTTGATAATTAGCATCGTATATCATAAAGCGGTGTATAGGGATACAGATTTATGCATCCGATTGCATTAGCGCGCGCATACATACGCTCGCTTATTGCGGGGATACGCACACACACACATGTTGACACACCCCCTCAGCTCTCGATGTGAGGGCAGAATGAAGTCAAAGTGAGAGCTGAATAAGATAGAACAGAGAAAGAAGGGATCCTTCTAGTAAAAAGGGAGGATTTCCATACCTAGCTGTTGAACAAAAACAGCATATTTTTCGGCGGGAAAGCGCTTAGTAAGTCCATCAGCTAGCATTTCGGCTAATTTGATCCATTCAACTCGCAGCCGTTTCGCTTGAACTTCCTATCGAATCCAAAGCTGATAAATATCTACGTAACGAAGCTTAGTTTGGAAGGAGGATTTCTCTCGTGTAAGCAGATCAACAGTTTGCTTATTATCACATTGAATTGTATCTAACTGGTCAGGGTTAAATTGGATAAAGGAGAACAGGCGCTTAATCTAGTATAGCTGCTTAGCTGCGTAGCTAATCGCAAGCAATTCGGCTTCTGTCGTTGATATAGTGATAGTCTTTTGCTTACGTGATTTCTACTCAATTAGGCCTCTAAATAGGCAAAAGATAAACCCTTTAGAGCTCTTTCGATCAGGATTATCGGCAAAGCTTGCATCTAAGGCAGCAGTGAAGATAGAAGCTCTTATTTCACTGTCAAAACAGAGAGAAAGGTGTTTCGTCTGATATAGGTAGGAAATCAGATAATTAACGGCTTCTAAGTGCTTTTCGTTGCAGCGAGTAAGCGATTTCGCTAGCAGTTAGTTAGCAAATACAGTATCCGGCCGGGTCTAAACGGCAGGGAACAAGGTTAATCCACATTCTTGTTAATAGAGCTTAACAATCTTTAGATTAATTAATCCTAATAGTATTAGATTAAGCCTTTAGGTAGTTAGTAGTAGTATTTTGACAGGTTTGCTGTTCAGCAGGTTAAATCTAGCAGCTATTTTTTCAATATATACTACTTAGTTAAGCTAGGTCTTTCGTTTTAATCGGTTTCTCACAATTCGAATACCAATAAATTAGGTCAATTCGCCATAGTCTTTTATTTCAAATCGTTGTGAGAGAAGGTCTTTGATTTACTAAGCGTGTATACTCTCACTTCGATAATAGGTAGCAAGGAAATCGTTAACGAATACTATAATAACTATACGATTATTAGTGTAAAGGGCAGGGTCATCAGGGCACGATTGAAATCCAAGTGAGAGAAGCATCTCTTTGATATCATCTTCCCATCTCTTACCAGCAATTCGTAGACTATATACTACTTTGTATAGGCGAAGAATCAATAATTTCTTATAGCCTAAGCCAGGTAGGTATCGGTAGTATACTTCTTCTTTCAGCGAGCTATTCAGGAACACATTAACTGTATCTATCTAAAAGGTTTCGAGGTTATATCGTGTGATAATCGCGATAAGCGTACGAAAGGTTCTAGTAGTAAGGGTACTAGTGCGAGCGTCTTAATCGTCAGGGATTTAGGTATCGTCTCGTATACACAGGCGTACTTTGAATCGTGTGAGGTAGCCTGATTTATCTGATTTATAGGCAAATACCTATCTTATTAGGATCAATTAGTAGCGAGGGCAATCTGATTAATCAAGGTCTTTGCAATTCGTCTGATATAATTGTGTGATAAGGTTTACACTAATTAGTTCAAATGTATACATATCTAGAAGCTTATTGAATTCAATTTGTATAGCTTAACGAAATTGGTTTTCGAAAGGGTAGCTAACTAGTTAATAATAGCTAGAGGGTAGTAGGGGAATTGATGAAATCAGCACTTTTAGTTGCTTGCTTTAGTCTAGCAGGAAGGCCTGCGTAAGTGAAGTGAGGTTAATATGAGGGCGTTTAACCTTATCTAGGTCTCGGCTAGTATCTGAATCAGATCGTAGTCGCTTTAGTATAGAGAGGGGTTCGTAGCCAGAAGGGTCGAAGTTAGTGTTATCAATTAGCACAAAAGGCTATATCTAGCTAGATTAGCTAGTATCGTCGATATCAGACGGATCAGATTAGTCAGGTTAGTTGAATTCGTCTGCTTTTGGATTAATTAGAGGAGTAAGCGGTTAGTCTCTAAGGATTTCGTCGTCTAGCTCATTTAAATTAGAAGTAAGCTAAATATAAGGTAAAAGTAAGGTTTCAGAAGGTTATAAGGATATAATAGGGTCTAATTCAGCAGTAGTAGTGCTTCTACCCCCTAGATCTTGCTGTATCTAGTCTAATTGTATATCGATATCGTTAAGGATTCGTATAGTTTCTTCTTTATCAAGAGTAGTAATTAGCTGTAATAGATTAGTGTCTTCGTAGATACGTATTTTTTGATTTAGTAAGGAGGGATTATAGAATTCTTCTTCGTTAAATTGTACGTCTCGTACACGAATAATTCAGCGATTCGTAGGTATCTAAATACGCTAAATATTGTGTGCTTCATAGCCTACTAGGTAGCTAATAGCCGTGCGTAGTGCAAGCTTAGCTAGCCTTAGTAGCTTAGTAATACGTACGTAGGCTTTATATCCGAAGATTCTGATATTAGATAGATCAGGTTTAGTCTGAAGCTAATATAGTATATTGTCACCTAGGTAAGCTGCGAGTGCTTTATATAGTAACTGCTAATTGAGAGATCGGTAAGGAATACGATTTTTAATATAAATAGCTATTATAGCTGCCTTAGGCCAGAGATAGCTTAGTAGGTTTGAATCAATCGTTATCTACCTAGCTATCTTTGATATCAATGCACTATATCGCTCAGCGTAGCCATTTTAATCAGGTTAATAGGGCGGAGTAGTTTCTAGGTTAATTCCACGCGAAGGTGCTTCGTGGCTAAAGAAATCAGATAGGGATTGCTCGTTATCAGAATAAATAGTAAGGACGCAAAGGTTGAATTAGTTTTAGA